GTGTTGTTTTCATAATCAGAGAAAAGGGGCTATTCTAAAAATAGTATCAAAGACAGTAAAAATAGTGGAATCAACTTGTATGAAACAAGCTTCCTAAAATGCAAATACAAAATAATACACCTACGGAAGATAAAAATCTGTAAAAAATAATGTATCTCAGGTTTACCCGATGTCATTTACCAGTCATTAAGTAGTCTTTCAGTATGAAAATGCATATTATCACCTGCACACCTGATGCGGTGCCCAGAAGTGAGTCAGTGACCTGAGTGAGTCGCCCTCCACCACTTACAATACTTTATGACCTCAATTTTCTTGTTCTGAGATTCCATGTTCTCAGTTGTTCATTCACCTATTAATTCAACAAATATTTCTTTTTTTAATTTTTTTTAAAGATTTTATTTATTTGTCAGAAAGAGAGAGAGAACACAAGCAGTGGGAGCGGCAGGCACAGGGAGAGGGAGAAGCAGGCTCCCCACTAAGCAGGGAGCCCGATGTGGAACTCAATCCCAGGACCCTGGGATCATGACCTGAGCCGAAGGCAGACACCTAACCGACTGAGCCACCCAGGTGCCCCCAATATTTCTGTGTCCCTAATATGCCACACACTATAGTGGGCCCCAGGTGAGTGCAGTCATAAGAGAGGCATGATCTGTGTTCTTACAGAGATCTCTGTCCTCCAACTTTGGTGCCTCACCCATGACTGAAGATAATAGTACTTGCTTTAGTTGGGGTTGTTGCTAGGACTGTATGAAACAAAAGAGAGCACCTGACCCAGCACTCAACATGTGGGAGGCGCTCAGTAAATTTTATTGCTGGTATAATCTCAGTTTTTCCAGCTATAAAATGGAATTTATCTTATTCCACTTGACTGGGTGTGAGAATATTGATCTCTATAATCCTTCAGTGATTATATCTGCCCTAGTCCAGAAAACACCTCAATTTTTAAAAGATGCTTTGGAGAACGGAAGATCATAGGGCAAGATGAGAATTTAGATATTTTATTCTAAGCTTATAGATTGAACTCCACTTACTTTTCAATTTTTTTGTTTTGACTCTCAAAATTTGCAATGCCGTATTTATTTTTTTAAAGATTTTATTTATTTATTTATTTATTTGATAGAGCACGAGTGGGAGAGCAGAAGCAGAAGGAGCAGCAGAGGGAGAGTGAGAAGCAGGCTCCCCGCTGAGCAGGGAGCTAGATGCAAGGCTCGGATCCCAGGATCCTGGGATCATGACCTGAGCCGAAGGCAGTCACATAACCTACTGAGCCACCCAGGCACCCCTGCAGTGCCGTATTTAAAACCCCCATTGTAAAAACTGATAATTCACTAGGAAAACTCCAAGAATATTATAAGTAGGCAAATTCTTATGATCTTAGCTTTCATAATATAAGAAAGTTAAGGGACACGTTTGATAAGAACAACGTTAAGCAAGTTCTTACTTTTTAAAGGCTTTCAGATGGGTATCTTGAGATCTAGGTCAAAGTAAGCTTCTCCACCAACCAGAAATATCTTCATGTACATGTGTCAAATGATATATACTTCTGTAATGCACATTCAATATCTTGTGAGCACAACATTTGAGAATATGTCAAGAGATTTACATAGATTTTCTCTAATATTCCAAACACGCCTTCTAGTAAAGTTAGATCTCTTCCATTAGCAACTGAAGCTGGGAGACATTAAGCAGTTTACCAAGTTATTCTAGTAAATGTCAATGCCTGAATGTGAACCCCCATTGTCTGACTTCACAACTTAACCTTTCTTGATAACACCACACCCATGCTCCAGCAACAGGAAATTCATTACTTCCCAAAGCAGCTCATTTCTTCTTTTAAAAGTGCTTTTAAGGGGCGTCTGGGTGGCACTGTCAGTTAAGCGCCTGACTCTTGGTTTCTGTTCAGGTCGTGATGTCTGGGTCGTGGGATCAAGCCCTGCGTTGGGCTCTGCGCTCAGCACAGAATCTGCTTAAGATTCTTTCTCTCCCTCTCCCTCTGCTCCTCTCCACCCCCTCTCAGATATATAAGTGCTTTCAATTCCCTGAGTTCCTTCCAACGTTGAACTGAAATCTGTTCCCTTCTGAAAGTCACCACTGTCTCTGGTTTCACCCTTCAGTTAAATTAGTTAATCTAATGCCTCTTCTGCACGAAAGCTCTTCAAATGTTCAGAAACACCTTTATTTCACCTCTTCTCCTTCTCTACCAAGTTTTCCTTTCTACAAAACTAAACAGTCCCATTTTTCCACTGCTGTTTAGATTGCATTGTTTTGAGTCCTACCCTCTTTCTACTCAGTTCCAATCATCATAGTCTTGTTTGTTTATGTCACTTTTAAAAGAGGATGCATAGAACTAAAAACAATACCACAGGTGGGATCTGAAGAGTCAGAGTTGAAGTTCATTATTACCATCTTTGTCCCAGATATTATACTTCTATTTATGTTGCTCAATAGCAGATTAGCTATTTCATTCCAGCCACTTCATGCTGCTGACTCACATAGTATTTACTGTAATTATAATAAAGCTTCTAGGTCTTTTTCACACGTGCAACTCCACATTTTCAACATCTTATTCCTGTGCTTTGCTTACATGAGTTTTTTCCGTGTTGAGCTACACCTCTTAGACTGGGAAGGCTGAAATGATGGGCCAAGCCTTTTTTGATTTGTTGCTGTCATTCAGTGGATTCCCTCTCCTTCACAGCTCCATTTTATCATTAACTTGACGTCCCAAATTATTGAGTAAAAATACTGACCACCCAGAGAAGAAAGTAGGGTTTGAAATTCTTCTCCTCACCCAATAGACTTCTTTCTAGATTGACATGAATTCACACATTAGCAGCTTATAGACAGGGTCAGTTTATCTACTTGGTGATTCACCTAATGGTACAAGTCTCTAGCCCATGTGCTCCTCCTGGATTCCTCCTCCACAGTCCTAGGAAAGATCATGACATATTATTCCTTGCTGACATCCAAACACCCCTTGTCTACTGCATGCCTCACACCCCCAGAATGATAACCTGGTACTCTGGGCCATCTCCTCTTAGAGGATGTACAAAGCCGTTGATTTCTTTCTGTTTCCCTTCTTTCCCCTCAAGGAATCACACTCACCAAATGCTTATCTTGGTGCTGGCTAAAGATCTAGACTACTGCTTTCTAGATATGGCTGGCTTCATGGGCATATTACCTGTATGCAGAGCCCCTGACTCAGAGAAGCTTCCCCATGGACTTAATGCCTTCCAGTCAGCCATCTTGAAATTTTTAACAATTTTATTTATACATTAAATTATACATTAAACATTAAAATTTTTATATAAGATTTACATGATGAATTTTATGTATATATTAAATTTTAATATTACATATGAAATTAAGTTTATATATTAAATTATATATTAAATTTCTAGATTTATATACTAAATGTAGAATGACATTAAATAATAAGTAAAAAAATAAAACACCACAAGTCAAGATAGAGACTACAGAAGAAAGGAAAAAGCTTTTATCTTAAACATGTTTAACAGTACTTTTTTCCTGCTTTTTGAACAAGGGGCCCCACATTTCTGTTTTGCACTGGGCCCACAAATAAGATAGCTGCCCTGTTTCCAGAATGGATATTCAAAATCTCCTGCCTAGTTGGCCAGTTACCTACTCAATCATAAATCAGTGCAAACGATATGTAGAACTGTAGCGTATCAGGTGAATATTGGCCTTGCTGCTTTCTGTTGAGTTGACATAGTTTCCCGCAGGAGCATGCAACATTATGGAACACTTTGACATACACTGAACAACCTCAGGCCTGTGTCATCAATTCTGCTCCTTCTCCCCACACTTACCATCTTCAAAACGTCATACTGAATGAATCATGAAACACTGTATCAAAAACTAATGATGTAATGTATGGTGACTAACATAAAATAATAAAACAAATTATAAAAACAACAACAACAACAACAAATCACACTGCAGGAAATCATTCTTGTTCTGGACTTGAAAGTCAAATAAAAATACATCATTTCCAAACAAAACGTAAAGTAAAAGTTCTACTAGAAACTTGCAAAAGTCCTGGAAATCAGTAGCTGATTTCCCGTTTCCCATAGAGACCATACCAATGTCAGACCTGTTGCATTTTCATTTCTTAACTTCATGCCTTGAAGAATTTTTGGTTGAAGACTCTTGGGGCACCAGATGCTTTTCTAAAGACAAGGGGCAGCGTGGGTAAATGTTATAAAATTATTCATGTATCAGTCCTCTGATGAAGGCCATGGAGTTCTACCTTCCAGAGACACTGATCTGTTGGTATTCTTGCATATATAGATTTAGGGATGTTCAATTAAAAAGCAATCACAACTCTGATTCTTTGTCTTTCTGAAGTGAGAAAAATAATTTTTTCCACTGCTCACCCTCCGTAGAGGTCAAGTATAATCTCAGCCTCCAATGCCATTCTTACATACTTACATAAGTACTGACTCACTCCTCAGCCTTGATTTCCATTCTGGCCCTGCCCAGGTCCCAGACCTACAATCACACAGAAAAGTCACATTCTCATCACTCTCAATGTGTGTCTCAACAGTAACATTTCCTTACACTAATATCCCTCTTCCTAAAATATCTCCTCTCTCTCTTCTTTAAGGTTTGAGTTCAAGTTCCCTTTCCCCGTGAAATTTTTCTCCTCTCTACTTCAAAGTTTCCTGCATTACTCTTTTCAAACTTTCCATTTTAAAGCCATATATCTCAACGTCTTAATAAGACCCAATTTACCTGTTTCACATTTAGAGAGCATCCATATGCAGTGAAAGCAGATTAGAAAATTTCTAGTTAGGTACATCTATGAAAGATTGAAATCTTCTAAATGTAATAAAAAGAACATGGCTCTGAGCTCAAATTCTGCCTTTCCTACTTTGTAGTATGTGGTCTTTGAAAATTCATTCACCTCTGTGAACGTGTATGTGGAAAGATAATACCCACCTGATAAGAGTGTTATAAGCATGAAATTCTCCTTTCGTTGATTTTTTTTTCCATGTAAACCTTTTGTTTTAATAAATAAGACCGATTCATGGCTTAGATTTAAAATCACATTTACAGATGAGAAATGCTTCTAGGCCCAGACAGGTTAACAGTGAAGCTACCAGTGCTGGCAGGAATGCATGCTCCCCATGCATCTGAAGCCTAAAGTGCAGAGACTGAATGTCAGAGAACACCATACACATCACCCTCTAGACTCGAGAACTGACAGCAAAAGACGAGAGGAAGAGCAGAGACTCGGGGAAGCTCCAGTAACCACCATCTGATACCCTCACCTTCATGCTACAGAAGCAAATGAAAGTTGTGCTACTTTCAGATAAGCTAAGAAGGACGTTTCCTGATCATAGTAAGTGAAACTTTCTCTCATGTTAACAATTAGGCCACGGGCATTAGCTACAGAGAGGATCCACTGATAAATGCAGAATATTAGAAGAGCGAAGGGGAAGCCACACAGATATCTTGTTTCTTCAAATATCAGAAACTTCCGCATGACAGCAGGTGAGCAGTGGATGAACTCCACCTTGCCCAAAGGTTTAGTCCAAAAACTTCCTGTTGGCATTTGCACCAAATAAGGCTCCCCGTACTTCTGGCAACATCTGCTGGGCTATGAGATCCAGCCGGCTTTCTAGGGTATTGGAAACTTTTATTTTACAATCCCCATTATACATCTCAACTCCACCAGCTATTTCCTCAGGCAGGTAGGCCTCCTGATCAATTTGGACATCAACATCTTTTTTGGTGGCAATTTTGTACATAGGATTTGCTTTTTGCACTGCAGCCTTTACCAGAGGGAAATCCTGCTTCCTGCAATGAACAATCATTCGGGGCTCTAACAATTGGTACAAACCCTGAAGGACCAGTCCATCCAGCAGCATCTGGTACCTGGTTGTATCTTTTACCACTTTGCTGAGTCTCTGTTTTGCTTCATTTAGTAGCTCTGTAATAAGGTCATCTCTTGCTCTGAGGACTCTGAGCCTTGCTTGATTCATCAAATTAGACATCTGAATTTTCTTCTGCTGCTCAATCTGCTTTTCTTTCTTCTCATAGTATTCCATAATCTTCAGTCTTTGGGTTTGCACAAGACAACCTTTCTCGACGTTGAACTCTTCCTCTCCCTTCGCATCTATTTCCTCTGCTTTCTCATTGGCTTCTTGTTAATAAAAGCCATCATATGCTTAATCTGCTTTTGCACGTCAGCATCGCTGAGGGCCATGGCAAAAGCTCTGTTAGGCCGGAGGCCCACTGGCTCTAGCTTAGGTTGGAAGGGGGCGGTGGAAGGAAAGGGACTCTCCTTTCATTTATGACAATCAACTAGTATAATACCTGACACAGAGCAGGCACTTACTAAATAATAGCTACCAATATTAGAAAGGACTCCACCACTACTCACTTGATAATTCATCAGTTCAGTTCAAGTCAGTACTAAAAATAGGTAGTGTTTTCTACCACCAATCAGTTTTATGGAAGATATCTATCTATCTATATATCTATAGATATACATGTATCTATATATCTATAGATATACATATCTATAGATATATATATATGTAGTTTTTGATGCCTCAGAAGGTTGTTGAAGACAATAATATTTGTTAGTGAAACAGAGAATATGTTGGTGAGAACTAAAATGAAAACAACTGCCAAGAGATCAGAAGTGGATGTGTGGGCGTGTTAAGCAAAGTCCAATATGTGCTAGGGTATCAAGAGTGACCTCATGGGTTCTTGGTCTTGGTCCCTATAGCAAGAAAGATATAAAATAATTTACATTTCTTCTGAGGATTCCTTGAGGACTATCTTGACGGCCCCATTCCTGTTGGCCAGATATTTTAAATCCCTACTGACCTGGAGCAGGTTAAAAATTATAGGACACAGATGAGATTTATGTGACAGCCTCATACATCATTTTTCTCACCTCAGTGACCTTAGTCCCCAGAATGCTATTTTTTTGTAAAGTGCATCAACACTCAAGAATTTAACAGGCTGTCTTCATTTTGCTTATCTCTCCAAAATCCTGCTCTACAAACTTTTTGGCCTTTCAGCTCCAGAAATTATATCTCAGGGATACATAAAAGTGTCAATGTTACCAGGCGGTCTGATGATGTATGGCATGCTTCCTGCTAGAGCAAAGGCAATGGAGAAGGTATTGCCTTGAATCAAACACTGACACAGGGCCAAAAATCGTGGCTGGTAATACATTCTCCGATGGAATAGGTTACAAATGTGCAGCGAGTTGTAATGATGCACGCGTGAGATGCACACCACACACCAGGAAGGCCAGGCTGAGCTTTAAGATGAGAATTTGGAAGAATCTCTCAGAATTGTTCTCATGTCAGCTAAGTTAGAATCTGGAACTAAAATGCATTGCATCTATGTTTGAGGCACTCAGGGGCAAGAATAAGGAAACATGCTCCTCCATCATTTGGCTAATTCCTCTTTATCCTTCAGAGCTCAATGCACCAATTATCCTCTTCAAGAAGCTTTTTGTGATTCTCCGCTGCATCCTTAACACCACCGCCCAGCGCGGTGACCACTGGCATCATTTTTGCCTCTGTCACCCACAGCCACCGCCACCACTGCAGCCTGGTCTGCTTAGATATCCTGGGCATGACTCCAATGAGGCAATATCACACGATTTTTAACTGTCACTTGCCACTCCCTCCTAGACTTACTTTTTGGCATCAGGAACTGCTTTTGTTTGTCTTGTCTCCCCGGTGCCTAATAAAGAGAGTTAGGAAGAGGAAAATCAGAAAGTTTTAAAATATATATATTTATAAACCCAACATCCCATCACTCATTACTGTGAAAAACCAGAGTAACTTTGGAGTCCATATCTTTTAGTAATACAAAACTCACTGGCTCTCTCTGGTTCTAATTCTGACACTGTGTGACATTAAGGATGTGACTTCGACCTTCTGCTCCTTTTCCATAAGTCTGGGGGGCTAGTGTTGTTTAACCAAAGGTCCCTTCGTGTTCTGTGATTTTATAAATTTATACAAATAAGTACCCAAATATTCCACTTTCTTATCTCTCTGTTGGTCTCTCAGTTAGAAAACCAAAAGTCCGTGTAAAGGAGAAAAGCATTACAAATAAGCAACTACCCGGGGATCTCAGAGGTTTGTTCGGTTTTTGCTCACTCACACTGTGAAGGCGAAGTTGCTTTATTCCGCTGCCAAGCTCAAGGAGAGTTACAGGTACAATAACCATGTTTGAATTTTAAGTGCTTTATCAATCAAATTCCCCCAGGGTTGATCTCATTCTAATAACTCACACCTTCCAACAAAAAGAAAATAAGAAAGACAGACAGCATTACATTGCTCTCCTGGCTGTATCGTCACATATTCCTTGAGTCAGTGTGTTCCCAGAGAAGGGATAAATACAGCCCAGGAAATATATAAAATATGTGCGATAATAAAATAATAAAATATGTGCAAGTCTCACCTATCCATTTATTTGCCATCCAGCATTCTACCAAGGGGGGAGACTCTAGCCAATCCTCACTGCAGCCTTTCCTCAAATCAGAGAACAAACATATAGGGAGGTGAGGAGGAAAACAAAGGATGATTTTGCTTTTCTGCTAAGCGTTATGTACAATGTGTCACCATCATTTTCTATTTTTTTTCACTTTATTTTTGCTTTTCTAATTCATGTTATTAGTAAAAGTTATTTCTTTTAAAGTTCCAGCCTATTTCACCTGGCAGATTCACTTGCCCTCACTGAAGAACCAAGACCAGAAGTGCATCTCAGAAGTTAGGAGCACAGGGGGCGACTCTGGAAGCTGTGCTGAAGACCCATAGATCTCAGACAGTGAAGAAGTCAGCCCCTACATTGGGACTGATTGTGCTTTTCTCATGTGGGTGTTGCTTTATAGATTTGCTCCTTCAAAGCCAATTTTCTGCTATATTAAATAACTTAAAAATCCTACATGTAAAACTTTTTATGCATTCAGTTCCCCTATTTAAAATTGTATCAATAGTAGAGTAAAAGTGATGGCCTTAGGAAAATATCAGAGCTGTGAGACTTAATAAATTCTTCTATTGGTACTTGTATCATTCTCCATAATAATTTTTTGGAAAAATATGAATACATTTCTGATAATAATGAGGATTTAAATTTTTTATTATCTCATAAGAGGGGGCGTTTATCATCCTATCTCCCAAAATAAGCAAAGGATCCTGCATGAAAATAATCCACCAATAAACCAGTGGTGTGCTGGTCTACCCCTCTCTGATTTGTAGTATTTGCTGTAAATACTTCTACCATGACTAATTTAAAGCTAGCAATATTTTAACGAACAGCTTGCAAATACTTTGTTATTTGAAAATCAACTCTGCAAGTCGGCGAGAACCAATACAAGCTGGCTCCTGCACACCAGTGTCACATAATTAAACAACCTAATAGGGGCGCCTGGGTGGCTCAGATGGTTGGGCATCTGCCTTCGGCTCAGGTCACAATCCCAGGGTCTTGGGATCGAGCCCCACATTGGGCTCCTGGCTCAGCAGGGAGCCTGCTTCTCCCTCTCCCTCTGCCTCTCTCCCTGCTCATGCTTTCTCTCTCTCTCTCTCTCTCTCTCTCTGTATCTCTGTGTCTCAAGTGAATAAATAAAATCTTAAAAAAAAAATTAAAAAAAAAACCCTAATAGTTCTTTTCAGAAAGTAAGCCATTTGTTCAAATAATGTCAATAAGTCAATCAGACTTTCAGTTGTCTGAATTGTTTCAGAATTTCTTACTTCTAGATTGTCAAATACTGACTTCCTGAAGATGTCCCCAAAACAACCTGTTGAAAGAGCAACATTGAGTGTATTGCTTACTGCAGTGCAGGAGATTGCTTCTCTGAATGATTTTTAGTAGCATTTCAGAGGGAGGAGAGCAAAGATAGGCCATGTAATGAAGCTTTAGGGGACTGGTTTAGGCAGGTTTTTTATACAGGTAGACAGAGGGGAACTTGATTAGGATAGGTCAGGTTTTTGACATAAAAGTTTAGGATTGGTGAACACAGAAAGGCAAGGGTTTCAAAGTGAATCTTGAAGAATAAAGTCATTTGATGTTATCTAACATCCTGAAAAGGGATATATATATATGTATACACACACACACACATATATATATATTGTGATGAGGGTAAATTGAGTGGCCTAGTGTTCAGACTAATTTGGATTTGGGGAATGTTCCTGAAACAAACAACAGTTACTTGCAATTTTATCTTCTTGGGCAAGAGTTTCATGGATTCTTAAAAATCATGCTATTGAGTTTGATCAAATAGGAAAATGATTTTCATGAACACAGCCAAATAATAAAGTTCTGTGTGGTTGTATCAGATTTTGATTCCCAGCATCAAAGGTCCATGAATCTGGAGGTTTCTCTGCAAGCAACTGGTGATTTTCCTGTCAAGATTAGGAAGGGGGTATTGGTTCTCCCCACACTCCACCCCCCACAGGTCATGGGAATACAAACAGCTGATGAATGCTTTGAAGACACGCACAGAAACCTGACAAGTATTCTAGAGCTCCAAAATATAAAAGAACAACAGAGTATAGGAAGGTTAGGTATTTGCCAGCCTGATGGAATTAGAGGATTTACAAGTAGTCCTTCCACGGAAGTGTTGCAAAATATCTACCACTGCCCTTTCTCCTCTTTGTGATATATACTAATCTCCTTTAAAATACAGATTTCTCAGCGCAGAGTCCTGTCTAATATTTTAGTGTGAATGAATCATTATTTCATTCATTGGTTCAATCTATCCATCACTCAGTGAAAAAATAAAGTGCCTATTAACTTTCAGACTGTAGCAAGCATGCCGTCACCAAGATCAACACAATTTTTTTTTTAATACCTCAGCTAAGAGGGAAAAACGGGGGGTACAGAATATTATTCTCACGGGTTATAGAATCTCCACTACTTGTGAATTTCCAATTTTAAAACTTTTTCATACGTATGAAAAAGGGAAGGCACCTGGGTGACTCAGTCAGTTAAGTGGCTGCCTTTGGCTCAGGTCATGATCCTGGAGTCCCGGGATCTAGTTCAGCATCGGGTTCCCTGCTCAGTGGGGAGCCTACTTCTCCCTCTGACCCTCCCTGCTCTCATTCTCTCTCTCTCACTGTCTCTCTCTCTCTCAAATAAATAAATGAAATCTTTAAAAAAAAAAAAAAGAAAAGAAAAAGGGAAAAGCATGTCAATCTTGCCCTCCCTTACACAGTGGGCGTACACATTTATTTCAGAATAGGATATTGCATTATTTGTTAGCCGCAGTTGCTTCCTTTTGATTTTCTTTTTGATCAACAGG